GTAAATACAGCCGCGGAATAACGTGATGACACCACAGGGATTCTACAGGTGGAAGAACGTCGTCAGCTGATTTGTGGGTCCCACATGTTGATGCCTACTAGTCTTCACACTGGGTTGAGTCTCTTCTACCCCAGACCAGTTCACCAATCGCTAATGTCTGCAGATGTGTGAATTCACATCCCAGGCCTCTGATTGGCTGATGTGTGGCAGGTCGTTGTCATCGTTGTTCCGTGACCTTGAGTTTCTTCCACTGCAGCATCTACGTCTTCACTCCATCCTTTACTATTATTATTGTTTTTTAATCTTTACTCCTCACAGTTGCCCGTTTGTAGAGACACACTGACGATCATGGTTTTTGTCTGCTCAGGTTTTTAATTTTCGCTCCGACATTTCTCTGCGTAGAACAAATTAAACCAGTAATTCTTTTAAAATAATTGAATGGTTAAAAATGGACAAATAGAAAATCACAAAGTTACAGTTTATAAGATACAGATTTAAGGCCGACAGTTTTATTTTGTTATTGTCAGAGAAAAGAATTTCTGTCAGCCTTAGGGTCAGAAGGTCATGCACATTTAGCCTAATTAGTCTTTTCATATCTGCTGAATCATTGAACCTTTTCAATACATCAGAACAACAGCTGTAAATGTAATTTTCACACTTAAATGTTGAGCCAAGGCAAAGACTAACACCAAGGCCCCAGTCTGGAAACAGAACAAACGTGTTGGCAGTGAGGTTAGTCCGATGAAAAGCAAAGAAGTTGATGTCCTTTATTATTCTTTGGGCCGTTAGAGTATGAGGTACATGACAAAATCACACGTCTTTCTGAAATGTTGTTTCATGTTGTTTTCCAGTTCCTGTTCCTACTTCTTTGAGGTTGTGTTGGACATTTGTCCACTCTGTTGCTGGGTTCTGTCCCTGGCCTCACCTCCATCTCTAACCTCCTCACTCAGACTCAGTGTAGGGTGGGGGCCAGCACAGAGGGCGAGGTCAGGGCAAGCGCAGGTCACGTTACATGTAGCGCTCCCTCAGTAATCTGTGCCCCAGCTCTGAACTCTGGATCCCATTAAAAAGGATTTACATCCAATAGTGTAGATGAACCAAAGGCAGCTTGGCTTCTTCCCCTCTCATCATTCTCCCTTCTAATTCCATCCCCTGTAAAACATCAGCGGGGATTTCTCTCCGCTCCCTCAGCTGTCCACAGGCCGACAGCGATGCGTACTGGAGACCCGGCCACGCCCCGAAGTGAATATGAAGACCGTGATTGGTCGGACCTTGTTGAGGCTTTGTGTGGGCCGTGTCAGAGGAGGTGGGCTGGTGTGTGTGTGTAGGAGGGGAGGGGGGTACAGTCACACAGATGCTCCCTGCTGCGGCCCCACCCTCCTGTAACCCTTCAACTCCCCTGCTGCTGTTGCCTCCTCCTCCTCCTCCTCTTCCTCCTCCTCCTGCTCCTCCAGCCGTCCCTCAGCCGTCCCTCTCTCAGTGTCTATTTTAGGTTTTTGCCATGAGGTATGCAAACGTTAGCATTTCTCACTAAACCATGATCCCACGTACCCCCAGATGGACACTTTGACCTGCCTGAACAGTGGACTGTAGATACTGTAGAGCAGGGGTCCACAACCACTGGCCCAGGGAACTGTACTGAGCTCATTTATTTTGTTTTTGTATCACGTCGGTCTGCATGGTATATTATTGTATTTTAAAAACAGTCGATTCCCTTTTAAGCGCAGAAAAATTAAGTTGTTTGCAGAGACCTCTGTGTTTATATGTGTAAAATGACAACAAAGCTGATTAAACAATAGTTTTCAGCCCACCTCTAAAAATAAATACCAAAAAGTATATAAAATTCTCTCTTTTTACTTACTCTCTGGCATGTTATTGGTTCATGTTGCATAGCATTTGAAGTGATATTTTGAGAAATACATTTTCTACTTCAAAATAAATGATTTAATAAATGCCATGAATGACTAAACTAAACTCTGAACATTTCTTTATCATTAAAAACTGAAAGCAGCTCCAACATGAGATATAAGGAGAGCGTGTATCCGCTCGGTCAGGGTCACATTCATTTTTAATGGGCGTGATTCCAATCAGAGGGCGCCCTCCGTGCCGTGATCTCCCCTGACCTCACCGTGCCCTCCAGTAAACATCTCACCCAACGCTAACTTTTCCTCACGCTATACATTAAACCTACACTGAGGCCCCATGAATTAAAGATGGCCGACGAGGACAGACAGAGTTCACAGGGCCGCGCTCGCTCTGCTGCAGGTGGCGTGATGTGACGGCTTGTGTGGCGAAACCCAAGGTTTTCAGGCGTGAGAAGAGACACAGTTGGTCAGAGTTAGTTACAATGGTCAGGTCTTCCTCTGAAGTTCACTCAGAGTCCTGCACCTGAAGAGTCCTGCCCCTGAAGAGTCCTGCCCCTGAAGAGTCCTGCCCCTGAAGAGTCCTGCCCCTGAAGAGTCCTGCCCCTGAAGAGTCCTGCCCCTGAAGAGTCCTGCCCCTGAAGAGTCCTGCCCCTGAAGAGTCCTGCCCCTGAAGAGTCCTGCCCCTGAAGAGTCCTGCCCCTGAAGAGTCCTGCCCCTGAAGAGTCCTGCCCCTGAAGAGTCCTGCCCCTGAAGAGTCCTGCCCCTGAAGAGTCCTGCCCCTGAAGAGTCCTGCCCCTGAAGAGTCCTGCCCCTGAAGAGTCCTGCCCCTGAAGAGTCCTGCCCCTGAAGAGTCCTGCCCCTGAAGAGTCCTGCCCCTGAAGAGTCCTGCCCCTGAAGAGTCCTGCCCCTGAAGAGTCCTGCCCCTGAAGAGTCCTGCCCCTGAAGAGTCCTGCCCCTGAAGAGTCCTGCCCCTGAAGAGTCCTGCCCCTGAAGAGTCCTGCCCCTGAAGAGTCCTGCCCCTGAAGAGTCCTGCCCCTGAAGAGTCCTGCCCCTGAAGAGTCCTGCCCCTGAAGAGTCCTGCCCCTGAAGAGTCCTGCCCCTGAAGAGTCCTGCCCCTGAAGAGTCCTGCCCCTGAAGAGTCCTGCCCCTGAAGAGTCCTGCCCCTGAAGAGTCCTGCCCCTGAAGAGTCCTGCCCCTGAAGAGTCCTGCCCCTGAAGAGTCCTGCCCCTGAAGAGTCCTGCCCCTGAAGAGTCCTGCCCCTGAAGAGTCCTGCCCCTGAAGAGTCCTGCCCCTGAAGAGTCCTGCCCCTGAAGAGTCCTGCCCCTGAAGAGTCCTGCCCCTGAAGAGTCCTGCCCCTGAAGAGTCCTGCCCCTGAAGAGTCCTGCCCCTGAAGAGTCCTGCCCCTGAAGAGTCCTGCCCCTGAAGAGTCCTGCCCCTGAAGAGTCCTGCCCCTGAAGAGTCCTGCCCCTGAAGAGTCCTGCCCCTGAAGAGTCCTGCCCCTGAAGAGTCCTGCCCCTGAAGAGTCCTGCCCCTGAAGAGTCCTGCCCCTGAAGAGTCCTGCCCCTGAAGAGTCCTGCCCCTGAAGAGTCCTGCCCCTGAAGAGTCCTGCCCCTGAAGAGTCCTGCCCCTGAAGAGTCCTGCCCCTGAAGAGTCCTGCCCCTGAAGAGTCCTGCCCCTGAAGAGTCCTGCCCCTGAAGAGTCCTGCCCCTGAAGAGTCCTGCCCCTGAAGAGTCCTGCCCCTGAAGAGTCCTGCCCCTGAAGAGTCCTGCCCCTGAAGAGTCCTGCCCCTGAAGAGTCCTGCCCCTGAAGAGTCCTGCCCCTGAAGAGTCCTGCCCCTGAAGAGTCCTGCCCCTGAAGAGTCCTGCCCCTGAAGAGTCCTGCCCCTGAAGAGTCCTGCCCCTGAAGAGTCCTGCCCCTGAAGAGTCCTGCCCCTGAAGAGTCCTGCCCCTGAAGAGTCCTGCCCCTGAAGAGTCCTGCCCCTGAAGAGTCCTGCCCCTGAAGAGTCCTGCCCCTGAAGAGTCCTGCCCCTGAAGAGTCCTGCCCCTGAAGAGTCCTGCCCCTGAAGAGTCCTGCCCCTGAAGAGTCCTGCCCCTGAAGAGTCCTGCCCCTGAAGAGTCCTGCCCCTGAAGAGTCCTGCCCCTGAAGAGTCCTGCCCCTGAAGAGTCCTGCCCCTGAAGAGTCCTGCCCCTGAAGAGTCCTGCACCTGCAGTACGACCACAGCACACGTTAGCTGGATCCTCCGGCGTGTCCTCATACTTGTGTGTAATTGAACTCGTGCTCGCACTAATATCATTCTGCCTCTCCCACTTGTGCATTTCATGCCTGTTTGAGCTGTGGGGTGAGAGCAGAGCAGCCATGATCCGATGAAACAGAACAGAGTTGATCCAATGGCTGCTGTCGGGGGAATTACAGCCACTGCCTTCAACACGTACACGGCTGGTTCATGGTGAAGGTGTTGCGTGCTCTCATGGCAGCATGCAACATGGTAGATGTGCATCCTGTGGAGGTCATGAGCAGGCAATCATACACACACACTGGCTGTGGTGTGTGATCTGACTGTGGAAGCCTTTAGTTTCTGGGTGGACGACGGGTCAAAGTAGGGATTTGTGATTGGTTAAGGTTGCGTGTTTAAACATCAGCACGAAAGTTCACAAAAGGATCTGTTTATCTTGTCTCAGTGATTTATCCTACCTTTGTGAAACTTCTAGATTTTATATGTAGTTAATCATTTGTTACTGTATGAAAAGTTGACTTATACATTTACTTTACATTTACATTTATTATTTATTTATTATTTGCAACATTTTGTACTGTCTTGATCCAGTAACAGATCTTGCAACTTTTTTCTATTTCTGTACTAAAATATTTTTTTTGCACCATCCTTGAATTCTTAGCTTAAACCTGGAGTTAGTCACATGTTGGTTAAAACCCACGTGTGTGTTACATGTATGCTGACTCTTCAGTTTTTCCTGTTTGTTCATAATTGACTTTTTAGTGCAAAATGTGTATTCAATTCCACCTTGCCACTTGATAAGATGAATTTCTTATCTGTCACGGTCTGATAAGTTGACCACGAGGTCTGTCAAACTGTGATCTTGAACCAATGATCTTCATGTGTTGTTGTTGCTGTTGCAGGTCAAGGTTTGGTTCCAAAACCGCCGAACCAAACAGAAGAAGGACACCACCAAAGACTCGGACAAACGCTCCTCATCCACATCCGAGTCTCTGGCCACATGCAACATCCTGCGTCTGTTGGAGCAGGGCCGTCTCCTGGCGGGCCCTGTCCCGCCCCCAAACCCTCTCTTGGGGCCCCCTCACCCGGTGAATGGCTCCCTGCTGGGCAGCCCAGGCGCTGGTTCTGCCACTTCGCCTGGAATCAGCAGCGGCACGCCTCCAAGTTCTCTACCAGGGGGGACCTTTGGGCTGTCGCTGCCGTCCCTGGGGGGGACCCCGCCCTCTCCACGGCTCGGTGTCCCTCCTCCACACTCCCTCTGCTTTTCCATGCCTCTGCTAGGGGGCGCTCATCATGAACTCACGTCTTCTTACGGCTGCGGCTCCTCAGCTTTTGAGCCTTACATGCGGTTGGACAGAAAGGAAGCAGATCTGGGCGGGAAGAAGACAGTTTCTTAAAGAGAATGCTCCCATTTAGAGGACACCAGGGGACCAGGACTCTTCTTTGTCGTCTGTTTTTCCCACAGTCTGCCCTGCAGGCTGCCTGTTTGACACTCACGTGGCTGCAGAGAGAGGCTTTGCCCTGGATAGTTGCTTTGCTTGCTGCAGCATTTTGTGACCAACCTCTGGCACAAAATGTAAAAAATAAAAAATAAAAAAAACAGAAAAACAACGGACACGAATGTGACCAAGACTCCTCCATCTGAAAAAAAGTCAAACTGAAGTAAAAACTTCAATTTTGAAAAACAAAAAAAACCCACTTTTTTCTCTCAGTGTTTTGGTCTGGACTAGACAAGTGCACAACACCAGAGGATGTGTGTGTGTGACCTCTATGTGTTTGTGTGCTCCGTGTGTGTGTGTGTGTGTCTGTGTGTATGTGTGTGTGTGACAGCTGATTTTATCTCTGCTGTCTCTGCAGTGGTTTTTGGTGACTCTTCTAATTTGATGTCCTGTGAGTTTGTGCGTGTGATTTCTCTATAAAATGTTCTTCATTTATTCTTCAGGAAAAAAAATATGACTTGATGTCCCATATAGTATCTCTGGTCTGGAACTAAGGTTGATCTGAGTAGAAATACCATTAGCAATGTTACACATTATGGCCCTGCGATATGACGGAACCAGAGTCTGGTTTTTTGGTTGAGGGTTAAATTACCTAAATACAGGTGACTGTTATGGCAACAGTTTCCAGATCCTCAATGGGTTCTGAATGATTGACCTGACACAAGAGGCCCATATGTTTAAGTTTAAGTTTATTAAACTTAAGTTTAAGTTTTAAGTTTAATATGGTACACACAGAGGGGGAGCCACCAAAGAAACTTCTAAAAACTCACTTGGATCTAGTACTGTAGACTCACACAGTGGGTCGTAGTATGGGCTACCACATGTGGCCTATTGGAACCGGACCATTTGGGACCATTTGGCAGAAGTCAAAAATGGAGGACAGTTCAAATGGAAACCGTTGACGAAGCCAACAGAAACCTGTGTTTTCATCCCACAGAAGGTGGCAGTTATGGTTCATTTTGACTCAGATGTGGCCCACACTAACACAGAAATGTAGACGTGATTGTAACCCAAGTGGAATAAGTTGTAGGCCATACCAGTTTTGTTATATGGGATGCAGAGATTCAACATCTATTCCAAGAAAGCAGTTTGTGAACGTGTCTACTGCGGCGGCCATCTTTGATTCATACCGATGTGCTTTGACATCGCTGAAGAAAAGAGGAGACAAACGACACAGTAGCGTTTAAATATCAGTCTGTTTGGTGTCCAGTCGTAGTTTTTGTTTGTGTTAGCTTCTGTGTGGTGTAGGCGCTGGGCCATCAATGCAAACGTCGGACATCAGGAGCTGATGGTTGTTGATGAAACAGAAAGACGGTGAAGAAGCTGGTTTGGCTTTGCCAAAGCATTTTTACAATTTTCACTCAGAGGTTCAGGAATCAAAGGCATTCATCTAAGGATGGGAAAACTACGTTTTGATTTTGTCAACAGCAGCAGTTGTTTTTAGAGATTGCACCATAATCTGGACTGCTCAGATGAAGTAGTACTCACTCGTAGTCGTGTCATATATTTGACATGTCCAATATATTGTTCATGTCCAAACGAAAGAAAATCAAATGGGTTCTTTCATCTGAAACAGATCTAGGGTGCAGTGGATCTGTTACTAAAATAGCCAGTCTGGGATTCAGTGCCTGCTGGTTAAAATTAGTACTGCAGCTGGAAATGTATTTGCGTTTGGCTTTGAAAGTATTTCTTGAAGCTGATGTCAGTGTTCAGTTGACTTCAGTTGGATTTTTACCAAAATACGACAGCCTGTATGCAGTGACTGACAGGTCTGACAGGTGGCGCCTCTGCATCGACGTAGTTTGGTTACATAAATAACAACATTCCTCCACATTCAGTGGAAACAGTCGTTCACGTTCTGTCTGTAGAAGCTCCGCTCCCCAGGTTATCGATGGCTGTTTATTATTCCTTACGTTGATATTCCGTGTTTACCGTTACTGTGACATTTGGCTCCACCTATTGTCAGCTTTAACAAAATGACTCCTGCGCTCGCCCCTCGATGAAAGCCCTTTCCGTCGGGCCGTGATCCCTGCACAGCACAAACCTTCACACCGCACAGAAATGTATCCAACTCTCATTGAACAAACGGAGTCTAATTTGACCCGAGGGTTCGGTTCAGAAGCCTGTGCTAATGCTAAATATTATGGAAGAGGAAAAAAACAAGGGTCATGTGTAGCATATGATGTCGTATGTTCCAAAGAAAATCAGAAATGCCTCACAGCAGCCCCGCGTTTGAATATGTCACATGACTTATTCCACTCTCCTTTCACGAGTCCCTCTGGTTTGACCGTATCCGTCTGTGTTCATGAGCTTTGGTCTCATTGTGTGCTTTCTGTTTTCGCCCCCTGATCTTTTTCTCTCCACAAGGTGACTCCACATCCAGGAGGAGTGAAAAAAACCCACTCCTGAGAAATGAATTAAAAAAAACAACCAGGGGCATTTACAAGCTTAGGCAGCAGAGTGTGTTTCCATTTGTGAAAACATTTTTTCACAAAAAGGTTCTGACCCTGGCCAATACTCCCCCCGCCCCCCCACTGCTGTCTGTCGCCTCACTGGGCCTTTTTTCGCCCATGTTGTGGCCGAGTAATAGAAGCAGTTTTTGTGTTGTTACTGCTGCGGCTGTTGTGTTCAGAGCCTGCGTTTCAGCAGAGGGAGAGACAACTCTGTTATCTACTCATGGCTCTTTGCAGCAGCGCTGTTGTTGAACACTGTAATATTTACTATAAGCACCATCCATAATTCACACCCGCTGACATCAAATATTGAGCAGACAGATGAAGCACAGAGGGCAGGCTGCTGGCTTCTCATGTAAGGACCATGTTTCCTCTTTTTATTGCTTTCCTTCCATCAGGCCTTTTCTCAGGCTTAGAAAATGTCCTGAAGAGACGTTTTGGTTGCCTTTAACCTGAAACATGTATGTGTTGCATTTACTGTGCTTGAAAAAGTCAGGACGTCTTAGATGTTCCATTGTTTTAGGTAGAGCTAAAAAAAATCACCTCGTGTCCTCACAATTGCCATTCAGCTTCGGTCCTCTGGGGGGCACTTGATTTGTTTGTCATTTACAGTACAGATCATATGTAAATTGTTAATTTGTGTGACACCTTCAGTCCAACCCAAACTTCCTTCTTCTTCTGATTTTTTTACACAAAAGTATAATAAAAAATACACTTTTCATTTAGGGTCAAATTGACACTGAGGGTTAAATACAGGCAGCACAGACACCTCTACGATGATGTCATCGATTCTTCAAGAAGCAAAGGTTTTTACAAAATAAATAGTAATTATGTTCCTTACAGTCAGCGCTCCATCAGCCCAACTCCAGCCTCTGGGTTGTTTTTTTTTTTTTTTTTTTTTTTCATCATTTCTTATGTTATATTTCTACAATTTTCTGTCTTTTCTTTCCTTTACCGTATTTTCATCCCATATGTGCAATCCCCAGACACCCTGCACTTGTCTTGGTCAAACATCCAGCTGCTTCTCACGACTCACGACCAACGGCATCAGGGAGGATGGAAGTCCTTTGAGATTGTTTTAACACGAAAAGAAAAACCGATTCTTTTAGGTTTCTTTTTCCTTTGAATGCACAGCCAAGGTCTCTCCCAGGCCGTGACTCTGTCAGCGTGAAGGCACCAGCTACTACTGTACTTATGACGATGAACAAGCTCTTTGTACATAGCTATAAATTTATATATAAATATAAATATAAATGGGTTTTTGCACATGTTATCTCCATGTCTGCTCCATGTGACTTTAACAGGTGAAAAAATTGCAAAAGAACTTTCAGAGAAGAAGACGAAGAAAAAGAGGAGGAGGGAAAAAAAGACTTTTATGCTTTACAGTTTTTGTCTGATTAACATTTTGCACTTATTTAAAAATATTTCCTACTGTTGTTTTTTTTCTGGGCTGACAGAGGTGTGTTCTCACTCAGCCTGCTGTACATGATGTATATGTATTTTTATTCATATGCATATAAATATATGTCTATGTCAGTGGTCTCCTGTGTTCTCTTCTTATTAGCTTTAGCTGCTTTTGGTTGAACGTTTGTTCATTTGTTAGCTTCAAGTTAGCTCTTCTTTAGTTTAACTAACGCCAGTCTTTGATGACAAACACTGGTCTACCACGGCGTTTATATTTTAGACAGTTTTACTAAACATCACTTTTAGCATTTTCACCTTGACCCGTAATCAACTTTGATTGATTTAGGGCTACATTTTTCATTCAATCTAACTCACATTTTTAGCCCCCACTATGTTTTGTTTTTTTTGGCTGATTCTTTATTTTAGGGCTAAGTATTCTGTAGCTGCAGCTCTCACCTCTTCCTTTGCCTCATTCAGAGCTTCCTTTACTTTCAATATCTTTATGCTGTATTCACTTTCTGTATTTATGGTCAACCTGAAGCTGTTTTTGTTATATATTTACTTAATTTATAATTTGTTTAATATGTAATTCATGTTTAATGTTTAATATTTTTAATCTTCCTTTCTCTTGGTTAGTGGTATATTTAGATACTTTTTGTTCTTGTTTAATTTTTGCCAAAACCTGATGAACCTGATTCATTTTCAATTAAAAAAGAAAGCGGCTAACATTGCACTTATCTGGGCTAACTTTCAGCCACTTGTACGTTAATATTTCTCATGTTTATTTTGTAGTCAGGCCTTTGTGATTTTTTTGGGTCATCTAACTCAAAGAAAGGCTGATTTTACCTCTATCTAAGTGAAGCTTTAGTTGTTGTTGGGCTTTGTTTTCTCTGTTTTTTGCCAACAATTTTAGAATACGTTTTATTTCTCTTTAAAGGATGCATTTCCTTTGAATTGATTAATTTGTTTCCTTTAAGACATCTTTAAAGGTCTCTCAGCAAAGGAATCTGTAGTAATATTTCTGTTACCTTAGAGTGGCATGGTAAAAGTTTGACACGTATCACTCAGTCCTGGTTTAATTCAACAATGTAGTTTTTTAAAAGCATTAAACGCACCTCTTGGGAGGATTTAAAGGGCAAATCCACACATTTAATGGGGCTTTTATCACATTCCCTGCTTGAAGATAAATGAAATAAAAACTCATGACCCAAGACCGACACTGGGACACTTTTAATGGTTAATCAACAACAACAACATGATATTTCCACCATTCACTGTTTGTTCATAAGGCAACAAAGAGGTGCATGATGGGAGAGGAAGGAATGTGTCCACATCCAAATAACCTTTCAGTGAATTT